CATTAATTTTTACCACTGACAGGTATAACAACAATCGATGTGTTTACCTTTACCACTGACAGGTATAACAACAAGTTGATGTCTTTACCTTTATCACTGACAGGTATAACAACAAGTTGATGTCCTTACCTTTATCACTGACAGGTATAACAACAATCGATGTGTTTACCTTTATCACTGACAGGTATAACAACAATCGATGTGTTTACCTTTACCACTGACAGGTATAACAAGTTTATGTCTTTACCTTTATCACTGACAGGTATAACAACAATCGATGTCCCTACCTTTATCACTGACAGGTATAACAACAATCAATGTCCCTACCTTTATCACTGACAGGTATAACAACAAGTGATGTCCTTACCTTTATCACTGACAGGTATAACAACAATCGACGTCCTTCCCTTTATCACTGACAGGTATAACAACAATCGATGTGTTTACCTTTATCAGGTATAACAACAATCGATGTGTTTACCTTTACCACTGACAGGTATAACAACAAGTTTATGTCTTTACCTTTATCACTGACAGGTATAACAACAAGTTTATGTCTTTACCTTTATCACTGACAGGTATAACAACAATCGATGTCCCTACCTTTATCACTGACAGGTATAACAACAATCAATGTCCCTACCTTTATCACTGACAGGTATAACAACAATCAATGTCCCTACCTTTATCACTGACAGGTATAACAACAATCAATGTCCCTACCTTTATCACTGACAGGTATAACAACAATCAATGTCCCTACCTTTATCACTGACAGGTATAACAACAATCAATGTCCCTACCTTTATCACTGACAGGTATAACAACAAGTTTATGTCTTTACCTTTATCACTGACAGGTATAACAACAATCGATGTCCCTACCTTTATCACTGACAGGTATAACAACAATCAATGTCCCTACCTTTATCACTGACAGGTATAACAACAATCAATGTCCCTACCTTTATCACTGACAGGTATAACAACAAGTGATGTCCTTACCTTTATCACTGACAGGTATAACAACAATCGACGTCCTTCCCTTTATCACTGACAGGTATAACAACAATCGATGTGTTTACCTTTATCAGGTATAACAACAATCGATGTGTTTACCTTTACCACTGACAGGTATAACAACAAGTTTATGTCTTTACCTTTATCATTGACAGGTATAACAACAAGTTTATGTCTTTACCTTTATCACTGACAGGTATAACAACAATCGATGTCCCTACCTTTATCACTGACAGGTATAACAACAATCGATGTGTTTACCTTTATCACTGACAGGTATAACAACAAGCGATATCCCTACCTTTATCACTGACAGGTATAACAATAATCAATGTCCCTACCTTTATCCCTATTATAACAACAATAGATATGTTTACCTTTATCACTGACAGGTATAACAACAATCGATGTATTTACCTTTATCACTGACAGGTATAACAACAAGTGATGTCTTTACCTTTATCACTGACCAACAATCGATGTGTTTACCTTTATCGCTGACAGGTATAACAACAATCGATGTGTTTACCTTTATTACTGACCAACAATTGATGTGTTTACCTTTATCACTGACAGGTATAACAACAATCGATGTCCTTACCTTTATCACTGTCAGGTATAACAACAAGCGATGTCTTTAACTTTATCACTGACAGGTTTAACAACAATCGATGTACTTACCTTTATCACTGTCAGGTATAACAACAAGCGATGTCTTTAACTTTATCACTGACAGGTTTAACAACAATCGATGTACTTACCTTTATCACTGTCAGGTATAACAACAAGTTTATGTCTTTACCTTTATCACTGACAGGTATAACAACAAGCGATGTACTTGCCTTTATCACTGACAGGTCTAACAACAATCGATGTTTCACCTTTATCACGGACAGGTATAACAACAAGCGATGTACTTACCTTTATCACGGACAGGTATAACAACAAGCGATGTCTTTACCTTTATCACTGACAGGTGTAACAACAATCGATGTCTTCACCTTTATCACTGACAGGTATAACAACAAGTTTATGTCTTTACCTTTATCACTGACAGGTATAACAACAAGCGATGTACTTACCTTTATCACTGACAGGTATAACAACAAGCGATGTCCCTACCTTTATCACTGACTGGTATAACAACAATCAATGTCCCTACCTTTATCACTGACAGGTATAACAACAAGCGATGTCCCTACCTTTATCACTGACAGGTATAACAACAATCGATGTTCTCACCTTTATCACTGACAGGTATTACAACAATCAATGTCCCTACCTTTATCATCGACAGGTATAACAACAAGTGATGTCCTTACCTTTATCACTGACTGGTATAACAACAATCGATGTCCCTACCTTTATCACTGACAGGTATAACAACAAGCGATGTCCCTACCTTTATCACTGACAGGTATAACAACAAGTGATGTCTTTACCTTTATCACTGACAGGTATAACAACAAGTAATGTCCTTACCTTTATCACTGACAGGTATAACAACAATCAATGTCCCTACCTTTATAACTGACAGGTATAACAACAATCAATGTCCCTACCTTTATCACCGACAGGTATAACAACAAGTGATGTCCTTACCTTTATCACTGACTGGTATAACAACAATCGATGTCCCTACCTTTATCACTGACAGGTATAACAACAAGCGATGTCCCTACCTTTATCACTGACAGGTATAACAACAAGTGATGTCTTTACCTTTATCACTGACAGGTATAACAACAAGTTTATGTCTTTACCTTTATCACTGACAGGTATAACAACAATCGATGTCCCTACCTTTATCACTGACAGGTATAACAACAATCAATGTCCCTACCTTTATCACTGACAGGTATAACAACAATCAATGTCCCTACCTTTATCACTGACAGGTATAACAACAATCAATGTCCCTACCTTTATCACTGACAGGTATAACAACAATCAATGTCCCTACCTTTATCACTGACAGGTATAACAACAATCAATGTCCCTACCTTTATCACTGACAGGTATAACAACAAGTTTATGTCTTTACCTTTATCACTGACAGGTATAACAACAATCGATGTCCCTACCTTTATCACTGACAGGTATAACAACAATCAATGTCCCTACCTTTATCACTGACAGGTATAACAACAATCAATGTCCCTACCTTTATCACTGACAGGTATAACAACAAGTGATGTCCTTACCTTTATCACTGACAGGTATAACAACAATCGACGTCCTTCCCTTTATCACTGACAGGTATAACAACAATCGATGTGTTTACCTTTATCAGGTATAACAACAATCGATGTGTTTACCTTTACCACTGACAGGTATAACAACAAGTTTATGTCTTTACCTTTATCATTGACAGGTATAACAACAAGTTTATGTCTTTACCTTTATCACTGACAGGTATAACAACAATCGATGTCCCTACCTTTATCACTGACAGGTATAACAACAATCGATGTGTTTACCTTTATCACTGACAGGTATAACAACAAGCGATATCCCTACCTTTATCACTGACAGGTATAACAATAATCAATGTCCCTACCTTTATCCCTATTATAACAACAATAGATATGTTTACCTTTATCACTGACAGGTATAACAACAATCGATGTATTTACCTTTATCACTGACAGGTATAACAACAAGTGATGTCTTTACCTTTATCACTGACCAACAATCGATGTGTTTACCTTTATCGCTGACAGGTATAACAACAATCGATGTGTTTACCTTTATTACTGACCAACAATTGATGTGTTTACCTTTATCACTGACAGGTATAACAACAATCGATGTCCTTACCTTTATCACTGTCAGGTATAACAACAAGCGATGTCTTTAACTTTATCACTGACAGGTTTAACAACAATCGATGTACTTACCTTTATCACTGTCAGGTATAACAACAAGCGATGTCTTTAACTTTATCACTGACAGGTTTAACAACAATCGATGTACTTACCTTTATCACTGTCAGGTATAACAACAAGTTTATGTCTTTACCTTTATCACTGACAGGTATAACAACAAGCGATGTACTTGCCTTTATCACTGACAGGTCTAACAACAATCGATGTTTCACCTTTATCACGGACAGGTATAACAACAAGCGATGTACTTACCTTTATCACGGACAGGTATAACAACAAGCGATGTCTTTACCTTTATCACTGACAGGTGTAACAACAATCGATGTCTTCACCTTTATCACTGACAGGTATAACAACAAGTTTATGTCTTTACCTTTATCACTGACAGGTATAACAACAAGCGATGTACTTACCTTTATCACTGACAGGTATAACAACAAGCGATGTCCCTACCTTTATCACTGACTGGTATAACAACAATCAATGTCCCTACCTTTATCACTGACAGGTATAACAACAAGCGATGTCCCTACCTTTATCACTGACAGGTATAACAACAATCGATGTTCTCACCTTTATCACTGACAGGTATTACAACAATCAATGTCCCTACCTTTATCACCGACAGGTATAACAACAAGTGATGTCCTTACCTTTATCACTGACTGGTATAACAACAATCGATGTCCCTACCTTTATCACTGACAGGTATAACAACAAGCGATGTCCCTACCTTTATCACTGACAGGTATAACAACAAGTGATGTCTTTACCTTTATCACTGACAGGTATAACAACAAGTAATGTCCTTACCTTTATCACTGACAGGTATAACAACAATCAATGTCCCTACCTTTATAACTGACAGGTATAACAACAATCAATGTCCCTACCTTTATCACCGACAGGTATAACAACAAGTGATGTCCTTACCTTTATCACTGACTGGTATAACAACAATCGATGTCCCTACCTTTATCACTGACAGGTATAACAACAAGCGATGTCCCTACCTTTATCACTGACAGGTATAACAACAAGTGATGTCTTTACCTTTATCACTGACAGGTATAACAACAAGTGATGTCCTTACCTTTATAACTGACAGGTATAACAACGATTGGTGTTTTGTCCTTACACGGAGCACCTGCTAATACATCGACGGAAGTGACGTTTTTGGCGTAAACTTTCCTGCCCCTCATCTCTTTATACACAACGAGGGGTTTATGTATATCGTTAGCGCCCTCCAAACTAGCCAATAACCGGTTCTCTTGCCAAACCTTGACCACTGTTGGCAGACTGTTCTCGTCTAGAATATCCTTCATGGTCTGAGGCTGGTCACTCCAGACGATCGGGAGGTTGCCGGACATGGCTCCCTGGAGCACGGACTCCGGGTCCATGGCTGTGTCCGTGGAATGTGGCGAAGAGGACTGTGGTAGGGATGTCAACATAGTGTTAGTATCAGCTGTCTATCCTCAGATACACACCAATAACGTGTCAGATCAATATCCCGGTACACTGTGAATCATACAGCCCAACCGTTCATTCATGTTACCACAACTAGTTCCTTCCCGGCCTATTTATATTTAAAGAGCAATTTTTCAATAGTCTAGTCTCATATTTGGCATGTTGTTTCCATGTATGTGTTCGTCACGATGATACCGCGCGGTGGCTGTACGTTGATTCTATAACACTCGCATGGAGTAAGTCAGAGCCAACGTAAAGGTCTTTTGAAATCCTCCGAAATTCTTCCCTTATATTGCCCTCGTTTGAATATTCAGATCCGAGACCTTTAAAACTTATAACAGCATTGATCACATGAGACGCTATGCAATGTAAATATACATGACGATCACGGGTGAGAAAGTGTTCTTAAGTTACCTCGGTCTATAGAACACACGAAAACGCTATAGCAGTTCATATAATATGATCAATAACCGCGCAGGAAGCCAGTAGGAATACGCCACTACGGGTGTATTAAGTGTGTAGTAAAACCTAATTTGATATCCGTACAACGTTCGAGGCTGGAACAGTAAGCGAGAATTCTACAAAAATTACAAAGTATTCCCCAGAGCGTGCCACGACTTCAGATTGTCTTAATGTGACGTTCAACACCAATCTCAATCCAGCTTCAATGTAGAAGGACGATGTGACACTTTTTGAAGTGAATGTAATATTCTGTAATTTGTCTCGGGTTACCCTTTCAGTGATTCGCGCCGAGTACGTTACGATTGTGTAGATATATACATAATCCCGCTTCCGTTTAACCAAGTCGTTGCCTTTTTAATATCAGTTTTTTTCTTTCTCCACAGAATAATGTACAGCTTCCATCAACTAACGATACACTAATTCCTTTTTACACTTCGGTTTACTCAGCACATCTCACTAATGGAATGTTACCATATTTAGTTATTTAACACACATTAAAAACATCGAGGCTTTTAAACATCTAGTAAAGTTACATCAGCTCAAAATTTATCATACTCCAGTATCGATTCGTCAAAGTAGGCTTTTACACAAGTTAAAACTGCGCCCGGTGTCCCGTAAACTGTTTTCAATCTACCCATTAAAACATCTGTATAAATCCAGGGTTATATATTAACCGACGTGACTATAACCTCATGAACATAATTGCAGTTCCGTCTATCCTAATCCTTAAAACGTTTCAATGTGTCAGGAGTAATTACACGCTTGGAATGATAGAAACCTACGCATGCCACGCCACCTACCGGTAATTTCTCACGACAGTTGTACCCTCGTCCCTTGGGTGTGACAGTAGGGTAGCTTCCGCTATTTGACTACATATGTTGGTCGTGTTGTGACGTCACGGACCCTGCCTAGGGGGCCTACGTCGAGTCGTTAAAATGAAGTGATAAGATGTATACTTGACCTTTTCAACTTAATTGTGATGGAATGTCCGATTCCGTATCGTCGTGGTCAATTTCATCTGTCAATCTAGATGTTGTGGCCTATTTTGCACTCGGTACAGTAAGGTACCCGATCATTGAACCCAAAATTCCGACATCGAACTTTGACGTCTAGACTTTATTTCTAAGTAGGAAGGTCATGTATAGAATAACATTTAATCCGATGTTTCGTGGCGTGTCGATGATAATAGGTATATAATTATGTAAGGACCCCCAAATTCGTTCCAGAGGACACAATGGATATCGTGAAACACACGGACAGCTTTACCAGATTTCAGCTGGATTTGATTTGATTTAATACCATCGCAGTGCAGGGAATACTAATATGTTAAAATCCTCCCACAACACAGCTCCATAAACACATTCTCCAAATTGCTTTGTTACCGCTTTGCTAGTATTGTTCACTCGGATCTAATTTATTTTAGTTTTCTTTTCCCAAACACTGGTTGAGATGAAATATAGTTTGTATTTTTTAAGAAAGCATATACTTCATTATATATAAAAATCCATGTTGTTGGCGCGGCCTGTGAATCTTTGAGTATGGAAGCTTCAGATATTTTCAGATACTATTGTCACAGCAAGTGATCGAGTGTCCAAGGTCAGTGATAATTCACTTCTACCTCGAGTGTTGAAACTGCTGTTGATGTCGTCTATTTTAACCTTTTAACCGGTTACTTTAGTAAGGGTGTGTTGTAAAGTGCTGATAAACGATAACGTTAGAGGCAGTAAAACCGTATTTGTCTAACTGATATGTAAACACCGAAACTACCCGAGCAGTTACTGTGTGTCCTGTTTGTTCTATTTGTTACAAAAGTACCGAGATAAGATTTTGCAGCCATTGTATTCAATATATGTTTACTACAACAGCGCGTCTAAATCATTTAACGTTATCCAACCATTCGTGATCTGTCCATACTTGATGTCTCCATGTTACGATTGTACTCAGATAAATCTATATTCTTTGTCGCCATCTTTCTTGGAACTATCGGTACGTGGCGTGACCACCCAGAACCTCGGTGTCTCGGTGGCACTCTGATCTGTCAATTTTTGTTGTCTCATTCTCCGCCAATGTTTGACGTTTACACGGGGGATATTTTTCGATGGCGTCTTGTAATCTTCAATGTACCATGGCGATTTCATTGATGCGAACACCATCAGGTCGGGTTTTCAAAACATTTAAGTATTTTACATATACCTTACTATTGAAAAGAATTAATACCATGTCTCTAAGCTCATTTTAAAATCCACAATATTTGGTGCAATCTGATAAGGATTTTTCCTCCTTCCGCGTGAAACAGACCCAAACCCACACGTACATATTGCTGGGTCAATACACATATAGAGTATATGGTCCAAAAGAGCGAAATTGCTGTTCCTTCGTCAGAGGTCCTGTTTTACCCACAATTGTAAAGGCAGGTCAATTATTCTTTTGTAAATCTACTATTGAAGGAAACTGTATAAAAATTGTCATCACGGTTTAAACCAAAAACCGGGATAATGAAAATATAAGTTTAAATATTTCCTTTCTCCCATATTTCTAGAAAAAAAATAACGAAAATTGCTTTAGGTGTCGCAGTCGACAGTGTCTGATGATACCGTCCGTCGGCATGTTATAGGAGAAGTGGTCCCCGTGGTAACCAAATGAATGCAATCTGACAGTCAAAAGTGACAGAGAAGCTGTAAAACCAAACTTCTTCCTGATTAGCAGGTGTTAGTGATGTCTGACTGTAAAGGAATATACGTTACCCTGTCCTGTAATGTAGAAGAGTTTGAGTTATGTCATTTTTCCCGACGTCCTTCATTTGACTACGACCTTGAAGAAGGTCTAAGTTTATGCTAAAATGCAGCGTGTCGATCACTCTCTTATTCTTGTTGTTTCGTATGATTTCTTTCTATTTTTTTCAGATTTTGAAGACTAATGGCCAAGCCTTATCAGGAAATGAAATATCTCACAATAAAACACAGATGGACAGCACAACAAAAATGACATACGAACGAAATGAAATCAGAACTGTGTGGAAAGCTTCGTCAACTAGAGCCCTGCTGAGGAACGACTGTACAACAATAGGTACTAATTTTAAAGGCAGTTTTTATTGTATTACCACAAATTGCAGTCAACAGAAATGAGTCACGGGTCACGAGAATTTTTACACGTTTCTAAAGCCTCTATCACATAATATCGTAGTGGCATCTAATGAGACTGTCTGTAAACCCAGCTCTTTTGAAATTCCGAGCTCGTTCATCAAGCGGGTACTACTAAGGTCTTGCTGATGTGGAGATGCACTGCTGTGTGATTTGTAACAGTTTTTATTACGTTAGGCCACGGTAAAACGAACTGCGGTTCATTTCAACATTATGGTGTAATGACCCCCGCCCCATCCATTGTGTAGCGAAGCCAATTTATATTTTGTTTTCAATTGCTGTTTCTTCATTAAATTTCTATCACTTTGCTTAATTATGTTTCTCAATACATAACAAAACACAAAAGATAACAAGGGTGAGGAAATTTAAGGTGGGACAGGGCGCTTCACTTCATCATTGAACCCCGCTGCCCCATCCTAAATTTCCCCACCCCAGACATACGTTTTGTTGTTCATGTGTTTAACTGGATGAATGGGGATAATCGGAGAAGAAATTGGTGAGAAAAAGTTAATTAGTGAGAAAATAGTAAAATGCTTCACTTTACCATGGCCCTGTCCCATCCTTAATTTCCCTACACTTGTTATTTATGTATTATTATGTATTGAGGAAGATAATTTAGTAAAGTGATAGGTGACTTCACTTTACCGTGGGTGGGTGGGGGCGGGGTCCATTCCACCATGCTTCACAATATAAAGCCACACTTGGATCACGCGAACCGAGCTGTACATTTGAACGTTAATTTTAGTGACGTCGTGTATTTTTTCCGATGGCTTGGTGCTGGATAAAAATTTGAAGAGTTGTTTTGGAAATATATACAAACCATTAACAAAGAATTCCTGACCATCTGTCGAGCCACATCAAATTATAATATTGAGGACACATTTTAAAATATTGTCGTCAAAGTTCTATAGTTGTAGGATTAAACTGCTCTCTACTTCCAGCATTTGTTTAAAGATTTGTAATAGATTCCATTTATCGGGAGAATGTACATGTATCAATACGTTTTGTGGATATTTTAAAGTGAAACATCTTTTATGGATGGATAAACACATCGATAATTTTTTATCAGTCCAAATCATGGAAGGTTTTCTTTTCGCGAGATGATGAATTACCGGCACGGAACTGCCGACGTCCGTTCATGTAAAGCCATGCTGTAGACATTGTTATGAAAAATAAACCATGTTAGGAGAAATGAGTATAAATGTTTAATATATATTTACACATGACAAATGTATAAAGAGCTAAAAGCATCGACACATGGTACAGCACCAGACAATTTTAATATCATATTGTTACAGAAAATATGACCGTTGGACTGATCAGTTAACAAGGTAATTTGTAACAAAGCTTCCTATTGTGATGGCGACGTTCTCCACTTCCTC